TTCTCTCTATAGTCTCTTTCTCTCTATTTCAGTCCATCCATTACGTGGAAGTTCAATTGACATTTATCCAAATACTCGATGGCAACAAAATGGTATCACTGTAGCTGGAGGAAATCGACAAGGCAATGAAATCAATCAACTCTCAAACCCATCGGGTTTGTATGTTGATGATGATCAAACAATCTATGTTTCTGATCAATCAAATCATCGTATTGTGGAATGGAAACGAGGTGCAACAAGTGGCCAAGTGGTTGCCGGTGAAAATGGACAAGGAAGTGGAGATCATCAATTGAATAGCCCATATGATGTGATTATCGACAAAGAGAGAGATAGTCTCATCATATGCGATTATTCGAATAGAAGAGTGGTTCGAGGGCCTCGTCGAAATGGGACAAGTGGAGAAACAATCATCTCCAACATCTATTGTGTGGGTTTGACAATGGACGAGAATGGATCTCTCTATGTCACTGACTATGGAAAAGATGAAGTGAGACGATATCGAAGAGGAGAATCTCAAGGAACAGTGGTTGCAGGTGGCAATGGAAGTGGAAATCGTCTCGATCAACTCTCTTCCCCAACATACGTATTCGTCGATCGAGATCATTCAGTGTACGTATCTGATGAGAGAAATCATCGTGTGATGAAATGGATGGAAGGTGCAAAACAAGGCATTGTCGTGGCTGGTGGTCAAGAAGAAGGAAATGATCTTACACAATTGTCATATCCTGGAGGAGTCGTTGTCGATCAATTGGGCACTGTCTATGTGGCTGATGCAGGGAATAATCGAATCATGCGTTGGCCTAAAGGAGCCACACAAGGAAGTGTCATTGTTGGTGGAAACGGTAGTGGAGAACAATCGAATCAACTCAATTGGCCCTTCGGTTTGTCATTCGATCGACACGGGAATCTCTATGTCGTCGATTGGAGAAATCATCGAGTACAAAAATTCGATATGGATTCAAATGCATAGCAGCTTGTCAGGTGTATGTGCTTATGTATAGATGTGATAGTAACCAAGAACATTGCGGATATCCGCATCAACAGCTACACCCGCAGATCCAAAACCCATCCGCACAAGTTCTCGTCTGAAATGAAATAGTCCGATAGTGCCAAGTTTAAGAATTTTATGATATCATCTTATTTTCATCCCTTCTAGGAAAGGAAGGAATTCTATAGTCGGAGCATTGCAGTTCATGAACTACTCTCTAAAAAAAAAAGGAGTTTTGCAGAACCTTTTTCTGGGTTCTGCTAGTGGGTACTCCACAGAACC